AATATTCCAATAAACATATTCTGAAATAAAAAAAAGTGACCCAAGTAGGGATCGAACTCGTGACCTAAAGACACAGCAACACCTTGACCACTGGGTCAGTAACGAATTGAATAATGTTGTACATATCAATTTCTTGTGAGAGCGTTGTTCGAAATCGGATCATAAATACTTTTTGTTTCAAAATCCCCTTACATCTAATTGATGTTCGATACTCACATCTCTGAAATAATGATTGGTATTTATGTGTTGAGAAACATGGGAATATTCATGGAATATTACATGAGTATACACCACAGAATATTCAGTTGAGAATATTTCATGAATATACCGCAAAGAATATTCAGTTGAGAATATTTCATTAATATACCCCACAGAACATTCAGTTGGGAATATTTCATAAATATACAAAAGGGAATATACATTTGGGAATATTCCTGGAAAATTCATACCTGAATATTCTCTGAACATATCCCAACTATATTCACTTTGGAATATTCCTTTCAGATGTTCAAGAGGCATGTATATATTCTAGGAATAATCGATGAATATTCGGAATATACTCCTCCTTTTTAGCATATTTAGAGAATATTCTAGGAATATCCAGTGCTGTCTGGGTTATTTTATTATGATTGAAAGGATTGTGTTCACTACACAACTCCTTGGAAAGTGTATTTCCTGCACTCGTGAAAAAAAAACACTTTCGAGACGAGTCGTGTTAATAAACTATACAGTTATCTAAACTCCCACCCATGCATTTTTTATGAATCATACATTTTGTTTTCATTGCTGTAAGTTATGTTCGCACTTGTATCACTCAATAGCCCTGTGATGTTTACCCTACTTGAAGGAAAACACGGAAAATCTAGTGCTCTACTGACATTTGCATTCAACGGCTTTGAACTTTCCGCATTTGAATAACTACCCTGTGCCATTAAAACGTGGAAGTTCATATTCCTAGGGCATTAACCTTTAAAATATTACCGATATAACTGGAGGGGTAGGTATATGAGATAAGATATGTCGTATCTTCTGTTTTTAAATATGGAACAATCCAATACTATTTGGATTTTAAGGAATTGATAGGTAGGTTCAACAACAAAAAACTTGTAAAAAATCATATAATGTTAATTACAAAATCACAGTGTAAAAAGTAAGTATGTATATAGGTTTCTTATTGAATACTGAGTTTGCTACACTTGAAATAAATAAGTAGGGGAAACTGGGGCAGATTGAAACACGGGGCACTTTGAAACATTTCAAATTCCGCGGAATTTTCGCAACTGTATGGTGGCAACACAGAAGTTATGTCAGTTAGTTTGTAAACACATATCCTGCCGTGGAATTCAGCGTCATTGCAAGTTTGGTTGTTGTGTAGGGCGTATTTGAGTGTTCTCAGGTGAGAAAAGTAAATATTCTGCATGATATTCTCATGACAATATAATCGGCGCCTAATTTTTTAGGATATCAACTAAATTAGATCATTAATATGTATCATATGCCATGTTCATCTCTACGGTTATGATTCAAATTAGTGATGAAATTTCGTAATAATGATACATAAAAGCGTTGAAAACGTGATTGGGGTACAATGAAACAAAATAAATGGGGTAGGTTGAACCGTTTCAAGCCATAGAAGCTTAATGAAAAAGCAAACAAAAAATAAATCCGCACCAGAAAACTAAAACGCAAGGTTTTTGACTCTCCCAAAGATGAAGATTCAGACTCGGATCTAGATTTTGCTTCAGAATCAAGTTTGGATGTACGATAAAGATTTGTTAGAGATAATTTTATTTTTCTTGTTCTCGAGTTGAAGGCTTGTTAATTTTGTGTTCCTTTAATGAAATTATTTTAGGTTTTTTAGATATTTGTAACACTTGTACCTGTTTCATATGGTTGTGAATATCATCATATTCGTGCGTTTTCGAATTAAACTCAATTTGATGAAATTGAAATATGCATTATTTCCTGAAATAAAATGATGTTTCAACCTGCCCCCTACAAAATCATCAACTGTTACAACCTGCCCCGAGCATGGGGTTCAATGAAACAAAAACATGTTCCAACAAAAAAATTGCTTCGCCCGTATTTCTTTCATTCAGCGGAATTTCAACAATATGCAATTGTACATAACAGAGTAACTGTCATTTCCTATTTTTTTCAGAATTTTTCACTAGAAAATATGACAACTAGGAACAACTATATATTTTTTGTTCCAACCTGCCCCAGTTTCCCCTACAGGTGATTTTAATGAGGTATACTGGTTTTTCAAATGATTCACTCTGACAAAATATGAGTATTGAAAAAAAATATAATGTGACGGATCCGGGAGCGTGTCGTTACATCCACATTTCGTTACTCCCACATTTCGATACACCCACAGTCTCCGAACATACCCGAAGGAGGCACTGTTGCCAAATACTATCCTATATACCGGAACTCAATGAAACTGTTATTGTGGGCCTATCGACACATTGCGTTACACCTACATTTCGTTACACCCACATATTATTGCTTTATGCCCACATTTCGTTATGCCTACATTGCGTTACACCTACATTTCAATAGGCCCACATTTCGTTAGTCATTCCATATATTCCCACAGTGTTCGAACATACCCGAAGGATGCACTGTTGCCATATACTGTGCTTGATGCGTAACTTTCCGAAAAATATACTTTTTAGGAAAAAGGTTGATTTAGGCTGAGTTAGGTTAGATTTATCGAAGACTGGAACCTTTGGCACGATAATACACTACACTATGTTTTATCACTAACCAAATCGCTTTTTTAAACGCCTCGACACGTGTTTCGCTAACTATGTTAGCACCTTCAGGAGAATATTAAAACTTAAAATCGGTTTGGTTAGTAATAAAACAGTGTAGTGTTAGGTTAGATTGTTTAGAAAAAGTAGTAGCCCTTTTACCCTCAAGCAATTTATCGAAAAATATACTTTTCAGGAAGGTTTATTCAATCCGAGTTAGGTTAGATTGTTTCGAAAAAGTATAGTCTCTTTTGCTCTCTCAAGTATAATAGGTATTCAGAAACATATTTCCTAGAAAGGAGGTTCATTTAGGACGACCAAGGTTAGAATGTTCAGAAAAAGTATTCTCCTTTCTTATGCAGAAAGGATATTTCCCTTTCTCATATTACGTATTCGGAATTCAGGAAGTCATTGAGGGAAATGCTATAGCTAGACGCGTGTACCAGACATTGTGGGCCTAACGCACATTGTATTACACCCACATCTGGGAAACGTGCATCCTTCGGGTAGGTTCCGAGACAGTAGGAATGAATAAATGTGGGGCTAACGAAATGTGGGCCGATCGAAATGTAGGTGTAACGCAATGTAGGCATAACGAAAACGAAATGTGGGCATGAAGCAATGTGGGTCTAACGAAATATAGGTGTAACGGAATGTGTCGATAGGCTCACAATGACTGTTTCATATTGAATTCTGGTATATAGGATAGTATTTGGCAACAGCGCTTCCTTCGGGTATGTTCGGAGACTGTGGGTGTATCGAAATGTGGGGCTAACGAAATGTGGGAACAACGCGATGTGGGAGTAACGAGATGTGAGATAAAGGAGCGCAACCACGGATCCTGAAGGTATGATTGAATTCGAATCAAAATATAAGGTGTTTTAGTTTTGTCTGTCAAAGTTCGATCAAGATTCATCAAAATAAATAAATATTATTTATTTATTTATTTTCAAGGTTCCCACAATCAAGAATGCATCAAGTTTCCTGAAGAACTTGATGAAATGGTCATTTAGAGAATATTCGTAACAGTTATCACACTTTTTATTAATTTGTTTTTTTCAAGTGGGCAAGATTTGAAAACAATTCAAGAGGTGAAAACTGAAAGACCCCGTATAAAACCCGTAGAAAAAAGACTTTATAGCAATTAGCAAAAATTAATATCGTAGTGGTTAGTAACAGAGCTGGGCATTATTGGTATATACAAATACTTTTTAGCATTTAAATAATTTTTAGTATTTAAATACTTATTAGTATTTAAATACTTTTCGGTATTCAGATGAAGAGTATTTGAATACTTTCTGGTTCAGGTAATTATATTTATACTTACAAATATTTGTTGGAATATATCTTCAAGTTAGTATTTGCAAATAGTTTCGCAAAGTATTTGAATATATCTGAAGTATTTAGATACTTTCGGAGTATTTAAATATTTCAGGCGTATTTAAATACTAGTAAAATATTCAAATACTCTAGAAGTATTTGAATACTCAGAAGTATTTAAATACTCCGAGAATAATTTAATATTCAGATTCTGACTCACGGCCATCACGGCTATGATATCATCTTTTTAAATGGAACATCCTGTGGATTTTAGCTTTTCAGAGTCTGAGCTGATTTCAGAGACTTCCACATCCAATATAGTGAATGGTTAGTTTATTTCACCAATATGACAATGAGAATTCATACATTTTCAGAGACGAGGATAAAAAATGCAAAGAAGTCGAGTAAAAATAAATGATAATTCTGTTGGAAAATATACATAGGTAAGTCAGTAAGTCACTAATCAGACATCATCCTTTTTTATTGATGTCGGGTTTTGACAAATTGACGCCTTCCCACTGCAGTACAAAAAATTATTCATTTTTTCATACTTTTGCTATGGAAACTGCCTCAAATACTCAAATCTACATCACACAAGGTGATTAAAAGCGTCAAAAATTCTCAAGTAACATGAATGTATTCAAATCCTTGAAATTTTTTGAATACTTTAGATGTATTTAACTTTGGAAACATTTAAATACTTTGGAAGTATATAATACTTCGGAAATACTCGAATACTTTGAAAGTATTTGAATACTTTCAAATACTTTGAAAGTATTTAAATACTTTGGAAATACTCAATACTTTGAAAGTATTTAATAGTATTTGCCCAGCTCTGGTTGTAATAAATATAACAAATTAATCAACTACACTGACGAAGACATAAAAAATACTGAAGTTATCACAAAATTCCAACATCGCTCAAATCAATATCAACACATTACAGATCATTATCCAAAAACTAACGAAATACAAATTCCTCCACTTCCCCAAAATCCCTATTTCGTCTGTGCTCGAATCCATGATCATCCCCAAATAAACCAAATGTACCACACTAGTCGATGCGAAAACCAATTGGCAAATCCTCGACACCACCCTGTCCCTCTTGAACTTGTGGGTGCAACTTTTACAAGGGTACACCCTGATGCAACAATTAAAAGCCTTCGCAAACTGATCCCTTACAGCGAACTGAAGGTAGGAGAATATTCCGATTGTTATAAGAACGACAGAGACCTTGAGCTCAAAGCCATGGAGGAAAGAAGATATGACGAAGGTTGCCAAGATCCCGTGGAATTTCCCCAGAGGCAGCCAGGATTTGTAGATATCTGAAAATCGACAAAATTCAGTCAGAAACAAGTAGTTTTTACTGTACAGGCTGTCCCATTTTCGATGTCCTTACGGGATATCTCACTTATTTTCAAAGATAGAAGTGAAAATCACGACACCGCAAACAAACTTTTCATAATGAAAAGGAATATTCTCAGATATAATTATGAACATGAAAAAATGGATATATACAAGGTGTTTTTGAAATTAGTGCACATATTCAGCACATTAATATGATACAGGCTAAGGAATATTCCCATGATATCAGATTTTTTCTAATTCTTCTAATTAACGAGAAATTTCATCCCAAAAGTTGAACAAAATACGAGAGAAAATCAAGTACGCCACTTCAAACCAATTTAAATGATTGAACTCTGTGTGATTGTGCCTACCACATGGAAATTTGAACAGAGGTGACATCAGATTTGCTACAGTGTAGAACTTTGGGTGGAAAAAAGGGTCTAACATCGACTTTTATTTTGATCCCTAAATTTTTTTTATTAGTGCCATTCGATAGTATACGTCGAGCTTTCTCAGTGTTTGAAATATTTGCACTTATTTCAATGCCACCCTGAATATAAAGAAATACATTGAGAATTCGTATTCTCTATGTGATGAAAATATCAATTCTTTCTTGGTTCATTCAACAGAAAACAACTACTTTCTTGGCTATATGCCACGACGAACATTGAATTATATCTATTGAACACACACGATAAGAATTTGAAAACAAAATCTTCTGAAGTATCATTCTGAATATTCAACAGAAAACAACTACTTTCCTGGCTATTTTCCACGTCGAAAATTGAATTATATCTGTTGAACATCCAAATAGAGAACATGAAACAGAAAACAACTACTTTCTTGGCTATATGCCACGACGAACATTGAATTATATCTATTGAACACACACGATAAGAATTTGAAAACAAAATCTTCTGAAGAACAATTGGTAAGTTATATTTTTATATCATAATACATCATATTATTTTATCCGATTTGAGAGATGATGTCAATTATTCTCAATTTCAGAGGATTTTCAGTTTTCATGCTCTCTATTTGGATGTTCAACAGATATAATTCAATTTTCGACGTGGCAAATAGCCAGGAAAGTAGTTGTTTTCTGTTGAATATTCAGAATATTATGTGCATATCTTTATATGAAGGAGAATGCAAATTCTCTACTTCAGAAGATCTTGTTTTCAAATTCTTATCGTGTGTGTTCAATAGATGTGATTCAATGTTCGTCGTGGCATATAGCCAGGAAAGTAGTTGTTTTCTGTTGAATAAACCGGGAAAGAATTTATATTGTCATCACATAGAGAATGCGAATTCTCAATGAATTTCTCTATACAGGGTGACATAGAAAAAAGTACATTGCATAGTGCCACACAATAGAGGATACTAAAATAAGAAAAAAAGTTCCTATGAACATGGGTCCACAAGGCCTTCGGTTAAAAGATACGGGGTGTTGAATTTAATTTTTTTTTTGGGTTTTCTTTGAATATCTTTAGCCAGAGACGCAAGAAATGGATAAAATGTGGTACACAGGGGTTTTTTATCATGCTAAATTCAAATATGATCTTAGCTTGTGATGACTGATAGAGGGCGCTACATACAGGGTTCCATCCCTATTGAATCGGTCGAAACTTTTTTGCCATACACTGTATGTCATTTTCGACGGAAAAAATTTGTTATCCCCTCTTTTATACTCAAGAAAGGTATACCTTGTCCAAGTCGCTAGAAGCAATGGTTCCAGTACAAATGCATCTAAAAGCCGACAATGCACGCAAATTATTCAAAAAGCGCCAGAGTAACTTTTGCAAAAACAATGATAAATACTTCAACAATTGAATTTTGATGGTATGATGAAAAATATGACTAATTAGAACAAAACATTGAGTTTTTAGAAGATGTTCAAATTGTTGCCCTTGTACTTCAATACATTTTTCCATTAAAATTCAACACCTCGTATCTTTTAACCGAAGGCCTTGCGGACCCATGTTCATAGGAACTTTTTTCCTTATTTTAGTGTCCTCTATTGTGTGGCACTATGCAATGTACTTTTTTATATGTCACCCTGTATGTATATATATCCATTTTTCCATGTTCATAATTATATTTGTGAATAATTCTTTTCAATACTTTTACCCAATCAAGAGGGGTTCAAACTTGAAGGAAGGAAACTTTTATAGTTCTCATTCGCAGATTCGTGTTTCAGTTTTCCTCAATTCAGAATTTCTTTCCACGTCCTGTATGATGAATATCATTTTATCATACATCCAAAAACTTTTCATAACTTGTTTCGTTCTTGAGATACAGGGTGAAATTGAAAAAGTTGCATTATGGGACCTCCTTCGTATCTCAGCTATCTTTCAACTTATCGAAAAAGTAAAGACTGTCGCTCATACATTTTTTTACGTCCAATCCAGAGGCGTAGTCAGAATATTCATATTTACATAGGGTTCTAACCTCCGATATTCATTCGGAGGTTCTAACATATTACAAATTGAATTCCCGTGATATTTCCTATACTCATGTCTATTTTTCCATTATTATAATTGTGTACCAGATGGTTTCGGTTTTTCAACAGCTCTGGGGGGGGTCCAGACCCCATGAACCCCGCTACTGAGTTCACTCACGCCTTCGCTAGGAGTAGTGAACTATATTGTGATTTCTAAATTTGATGGGTGGAAATATTTTGAGATTTGTTGGTTTGAAAGGAATGAAGGGGTATTGTAATGTAGTACTTTATGAATTACTGTGTGCAATTCTCTCCTTGCTGACATACTGAGCCATTTTGAATATTTCAACTTGTGTGTGAATTGTGTGAAGCTCTGATATTTTTTAGTTCCAATTCGTCACTGCTCATCTCATTTTAGACCTAGTGTACAGGCTGTCCTTACGGGATATCTCGGGAACTTCACGATCTCAAGACGGGGATGGTAAGTTCTATATATTTTTACATTCAATACGCGAAAAAGATGAGTTAGAATCTCAAAAATAGATGAGCGAAATATGGGGAAATCAGGGATAATCACAACAAATTCCTTATTCATCGAATATTGGCAATTACTGAGATTTTTTTTACTATCCCTGATAATTAGTAATGCCAGTGGTGAAAGGTCATTCTCAACTTTAAAAAGAGTGAAAAACTACCTTAGGAACTCCATGGTAGAGGATACATTGAATATCTCATCAATTTCAAGTATTAACAGTGACATGTTATTAAATCTGAATTTTGATGATGCCATTGACGACTTTGCATCAAAAAAATTAAGAAAAGTATTTTAGTATTCATCTGAAGAAAACAAGTTGTTGTTTGTTGTTATGCTCAACGTGTCAAGTGAATATAATTTGATTCGTTGTACATAATGAGTTCATGTTAAAACTGTAAAAACAGTGAAAGGATTATTTGAATTTTGAAACTGACAATTGAAATTCAATATTTGGCGGCGGCGCGGCGGCATCGTAAAAGTTAGCCCCCGGCGTGAGGGAGTATAAATCCGGCACTGCGTAGAATCCAGTGGCGCAGTCAGACCCCGAAATAAGCTTTAATCATGCAGATATAACGCAAAGTTATGTTTTTGTAAATGGAACACCCTGTATATTTTTCCATATTCGAAACAATGATGCTTTGTGCTTTCTAAAAATATATAACACTGTAACAGTCTCAGGGGTTTGGTGTGTTTGCCGATAGAAACGCTGATGGTTCAGGAGACTATTTATTTCCTTCAAATGTTCGCCAAAATCACGTGTTTGAGCGAAACGTCGAAAACCTAAATATTATGCGCTAATGAGCCCCGGGACAGTACATCACTCAATATAAAAGGTGATGCAGTTATACAAATAAGTAGGTAAAGAAAAGTCTCGAACTATTCCAAACGAGGACACGTTGATGGACCTGATGATAGGAAGAAAGGAACACTGGGAGTCGGTAAGGAAAATGGCTAAGGAAATTATGGAAACGAAAGAGGTAGAAGAAAGACAAATTCAAGGAGAGGAGTAGAAGACACCTATTACTGCGATGAATGTTGCCTAAACGATACCGCAGTAATTGAGGGGCCGGAGGGGTTTTAGTCGAAAAAAAAAAAAAAAAAAAAAAAAAAAAAGGTAAAGAAAAGTAGGTATAACTAACATGTGACCTGAGCGAAGACCGAAAAATCATAAAATAGTATAAAAGAGTTTTACCCACCTGAATATTGAATGCAGGCACAGGCCAAGATGTTACAAAGGAACATTGGGAACATATAAAACCAAAGAACATCGAATTTGAGTTTGATCGATTGGCCAATGTGCCATAATGTTAGGTTAGTGAGCATATCAACAATAATAATAGCGATTATTTATTTCTATCCATATTCCACTGTGTTTGGCTCGGTAATCAACAATATCGTTGTGTAAGACAAAAAAGTATGCTGGCCGTGATTATTCAAAAACAAGTTATCCAACCAATCAGATCCCGAGAATGAATGGAATACAGATCAACCAAGTATGTGAATCTTGAAGGCTTTCCTGATGAAAACAAACGTACAACCCAACTAACCAACCATAACAATGTTGTTTATTCTTGATGACCTAGCACATCCAAGGAGCTACAGTTGAACTTTAGCTTCTAGGAACTAAAAGTGTTGCCTAACAACATTTGGTGTTAAAATGGATGACTTTTGTGTCGGATGCAGAAAAACATAATCACTGAACCGCCGTTTACATATCAGAAAGAGCATTAGTATGAGTTAATTTAGTTGCCCGAATAACTTTCAAGGTCAATAGATCCGTAAGGAAGTGCGATAGACATTTTTTTTATATGAAGTACTGACATTATTTTGGCTCACTCTATCAGTCCTATCATTCACGACATCATTCATCATATCATTCGGACAACCTGTACTTTAACGATGATTTTATTCCTAAAAAAAAATACTCACATCGTTTCAAAAAATCGTGCATGGGCTTATTCCAGTTCGTAACAACAATGGCCAGAGCGGTGGGAAATTCAATTTTCGCAGGTTCAACAAGAACGAACCTCCACTGTCTCGGCTCCTTCCACATTTTGTGGTTCTTGAAGCCGGCTGCCAGCATCGAAGCTTCAGAAAGGTAGCAAATGAAATAGTGGCTCGTTCTGAACGTCAACGCCTCTTTGTATGCCACCAACCATACGCATGCGTCATCTTTGATGAAGTAATTAGCCAAGCAATTCGATACAATCAGGAATATTGCTGAGGTGGCCACCGCTCTGAGAACGCCCAGTATCCACCAAGTATTCTACAATGTGAAATCATAGCATGCCACTCAGGTTAGGTTAGGTTAGATTGTTGAGAGGGTGGAAAACACGCTGGATAATATCCCCTGAGATGGCGCGTTTAGGTTAGAGTGCGATATCACAAACGTTCCATCGCTGCGATGTTCATAAGCAAACATATCTGCGAGATGACATCTCTGAGATGTCGCGATGAGGCAACACTGCGATATTACGAATGTTCCATCGCTGCGATGTACCGGGTGAACAACTAAGAACGGCTGTCATATCTATCATTTTTCCAACTTTGATAGTTAATATCTCCCGTTGGCGAAAAGCTATCATGTTTTGGTTTCCGTTGGTCTGTTGAGATTTAGTTTAATTTAATCTAGCTCAAACTTGTATCATTATTCGTTGCTGAGATATGCCCGACAGCCGTTCTTAGTTGTTCACCCGGTACAGAAGCAGACCCATCTGCGACATGACATCCCTGAAATGTCGCGATGAGGTTACGAATGTTCGAAAGCTGCGATGTACAGTAGCAAACACATCTGCGACATGGCATCTCTAAGATGTAATGATGAGGCAACACTAAGATATCACGAATGTTGCATCGCTCCGATGTACAGAAGCAAACTGATCTGCAAGAATTTTTCAAAAATGTGTTATTCAGATTGTTGTTAGGTGAAGAAGAATACAATACAAAGTGAAGCAAAATTCGCAAACATTCGTAACATTGCTATAAAACTATTCTTGGTTTGGTTACATCTCGCCGACACACACTACATAATTTTTTATACAAATACGAGTAACTGATATCATTCTGATAGACCGTAGGTACCAAAGATTGCGCCGCTGAAAATACGATTGAATGGACAGGAGACCCGAGAGACCACAAACCAGTTCACAACAAATATTAGATGTCCTCAGAAGTTAGTGCTGTACCTATTATCACACCATGTTTGAGGAAACATCGCAGTTTTATCGCAAAAACATCACTTTTCCATCACAAATAACATATCACATTGTAAAACATATATCGCTGTTATATCGCAGAGAACTTATCGCAGCGACGACGCAGGGATGAAACTTGAGTGGACATAATAACATCCCTCTGACATCAGAGCGACCTCTTTGCGACATAGAATGTGGATTGTTACATCGCTATCTCTGTGATGTAACTATGTTTACTGGGAAAGAGGTACTATTAACGGCATTACATAGACATAGAAGGGGCCTTTGATAACACCTCAATAAACTTTATAATTAGATCTCTCAGACAGAGAGGAATCGAGGAACCCTGGGTGGCTTGGATAGTCTCAATACTAAAAAACAGAATGATTTATACCACTGTACTGGGAGAGACCGTAGAAGCCAGCCAGCCAGAGGATGCCCGCAGGGAGGAGTACTCTCCTCACTCCTGTGGGATCTGGTCATGGACGGGCTACTGAGGGTACTCAATCACAGTGGACACAGATACCTTGGATACACAGACGACATAGTAGTCTTGGCACAAGGAAAGTACAACAGCACAGTCAGAGATCGCATGAGAGAGACTCTGATGGATTTGATATCGGAATAGACGGATCAAGAAGGGAAAAATATCAACCCTCACAAAGCCACCATGATAGCAATCACTCGGAGACGCAAACTAGAGAGACTAGGTCCTCTTAAACATCAAGGAGAAGCAATCTAGTTGAAAGAAGAGGTCAAATGGAAACACCGACTGCAAAATACAATGGGCAATGATAACATATGAACAAGACATATAAGCATCGAAAAAATAGTGTCCAAGGAGATACTCAATATGGAAACAGATCAAATTTCTTGAAAGAGGGACCAGTGAACTTTGGCAGACCGGAACCGCGTCAAGATAGTCTGGGTGCCAGGACATCAGGAGACCGCTGGCAATAAGGAGGCTGACGAACTTGCAAGAAGTGGGTCGGAAAACTAGCCAGATCCAGGTCAGACTCTTGGTGTACCAATTGGAGTACCAAAACGTACAGCATGAGCGTCCGTTAAAGACTGGATTCAGGCAAAACATAAAAGCTACTGGGAAAACATCCCAGGAAACAGACAAGGGAAACAATACATCAAGGAACCAAGTCACAAATGAACTGCAGGCCTGCTCAACTTGAACAGAGTACTGATGGCCATGCGCCAGTAAACAAGCACCTCACCAAAATGGGACTGTACACTGGACCGCAAAAGACAGATGGTTTTTGGGCAACCAGTCGGCGAACCAGAAGTATCCAACTCAAATGATGTGAAGGATTTGTACAGACTTCTATAAGGTACAGAGATAATGGAGTAGGTACAATAAAAACTACTAGGTAAGATACAATGAGCCACTAGGCCTAAGTGTCATCGGAGACATCGGTCAGACGAGCCCACAAACGAGGTGGAGTGTTTAGTGGGTATATGTGGTCAGTCAGGAGACTCACACACTATCATGTGGGGAACAGACCCATATGATGTCCATAAAGGATTTCAATTACCTCGACAAAAAAATGCCACTCAGAAGCACGAGCACGAAATGGCAGTAATTTCGAGGCATTTACATATATACTATACTTCATCTACGCCCACAACATATATTTTTTCTAAAATCAATATGACACTGATGTGACGTCATCGATCGAATTTTCGTCAAGCAACCTAATGAAATAGCAAATAAACGAAACACTTCCCAGCAAACAATTTTGGTCAGCCTTATGCTGGCTAGAATTGGCAAGAACGGCAAAATTCCTGTGAACATTGATGGGCCAGTACCAATAGGAGACTCTGGCCGTCATCAGGACCAGTATATATCTGCCGATACATTCAAATTAAAAAAAAACTACCGTCACGGGATTCGAACTGCGGTCCACCGCTATCACTTGGTTTATAAATCGAACTTATTCCAACTGAGGTACTGCACCTTTCTTGATTTGATATGTGTGTACGGAATTCATTTGCGGTCAACTTTCGTATGTACAACATACCAACTGGCCATCGAAGTTACGAGAGGTTTTTCAGTTCATGAGTGTTCTGTGCAGGCTTTGTTACTAACTCCATATGCCACCTTAGGAGCAGCACTGTTAATTGGAACGCAACAGCGAATCGTGCGGAATGATCTCCGGTCGAGGCTACGAAAATTATGATTTATAACTCGTTTCTTAAATAAATATTCTCTGCTCTTCCGAGGATCCGAACCCAGCAACCTTTCGATGTTCTGATTTCTAGTCGAGCACCTCAACCACAGCGCTATTCCGCCGTCTTAAAAATTAAATGTTTCAATTGAAACTGAAATATAATATATTTGGCACAGTGCCGTTAGATTGTAGTTAAACGAATTGACACTATTGGTGCTATTGGCCCAGTGCCGGCTGAATTATAGGCAACCGAATACAATACCCATACAATGGTCCGACGTTTGACCTGTGCAGCTTGGCCATGGCAAGCAATCTGCCGATATATCATGTACTGGGCCAGGAGCCGGCCAGAGATTTGATGTTTGCTGGGTTCATCCCCAATCAGGATAATAATGCTTTCAGATGAAATTCTTTCACCCGATTTCTTTTTCAATTTTAAATAGGAAATGGTAATTTCTTACATTGGAGTGTATCGTCGGCGAACTGACAATACCTGCTAAGTGCAATATAGTGCAGAGCAGGTTTTTTTACAGGAGATGAATAAAACAATTGAGTAACAGGTCAAGTCGATAGCAGATATTGTTTTCCTTCAATGAAGTAAACAAAGGATTCATCTGGAGGTAGCAGTTCATTTCAGATTGTGCGCAATGAATATTGAAAGCTAACTGCATGAGATACCAATATTTGAAAAAAATGTTACTTAGCAGGTATTGTCAGATCGCCGACGGTATGTTATCTATATGGATAAATACTTGACATACTGAATTGAAAAAAATCATCAATAGTGGTTGTCTTTTTCATTACACCTAAATAAATAACTATGTAAGTATGCATTGAAAATATTTTTTTGTAAACCTAGCCCTGGAAGCAAGAGGTATGTCAAACATTTATCTGAAGATACTGACTCATACTTTAATGTTAATTTGAAAAAGTACAATTTCCTATATTTTAAACTGTAGAAGACAATTCAAGAAAAAGAATTTCATTTGAAAGAATGATAATTACTAACAAGAATCCTGACTGACGATGAATCAAAAATGTTTGCATGTTTTCATTAGGTTGCTTGATGAAAAGTCGATCGATTACGTCACAGTGTCGCCATATTGATTTTAGAAAAAGTGTCTCCTGCGCCGTCATTTTGGGAACAAATGTCCACTTGTGATATGTCATTGAAAAGGGAATTTTCGACTCTATGGAATAGTATAAAAATATCGGGGTTTTATTCAGCATTTTCGACCTCGGACTATTTCCGATAGAAGCGGAAGTGATATTCAATTGTTTTTTAATGGATATCTTTGATCCATAATTTATAATTTCTGGGACATACATTGACAGTGAATGAAAATCCCCGCTCCAGAGGCGTATCATTTTTTTTGTGGGGTCATGGCGAAGCATGAATGGATTTCAAGAAAATTCAAATATTATGGACTTGAGAATCCTCTACAAAGACCAAAAAAAAAAATATTGAAAAATTGGAATAATCAATGAGGAATCATATTCATTGCTTCAGGGGCATACTATTTTTTCCGGATGGGGAGGAAGTTTAAAAAATGTGTGAATTTCAGAATTTTAAGAGGTAAGGGGGTGTACATTTTTTTCTGAGCAGTGGTAATTAACGAAGCACCAGTCTCCCAGAAAATAGCAATAACTTTGACATAGAAAATCAAAATCGTGACCTAAGGGTACCCAATTGTTTTCTTAGGATTCATGATGAAGAAAAATGGAAAATGCTCTGAAACAAAAATATTCAATATCTGAAACAAACATCCATAGACATTGTGACTCCAAGGGTATAGGCATTTTTTCTGTGAGGGTTAAAAATTTAGAAATGTTGGAATCCCCCCCCCCAAAAAAAGTGTGACTGTTAGTTATATCAAGCAGATCATATAGTCACCTTCTTTGTAGGATTATGGTACAAAATTGTGTACTCCTGAAAAGAAATCCATGGTCCAAACATGACATTACTCCCACAAAAAATGTACCCAAAATACTGGATACAACTAGGAAAAATCGTAACTCCTTTGCCTGCATCTTCAGCTAATGAAATGAGTTTCATACTAAATATCATGACAACTCCTCTTATTTCCATCCATGTTTCTGATTTCAAGAGGAAATATTCACTGAAATAATTGTTCCTGAGAGCCTGTTCAATTAAATGTTTTATTCAACTTACCATAAAACTAAAATTGCAATTAGGCAGTATTTCACTATGTTAGAGTTGCTGAGGAGCCTTATTTCATCTTGCTTTTTTACTGGGTCATATTTATTTTGTACATAACAACCTATGTGTAGGAGGAGGTAAGACTGTATGAAAAATGCTAAAATTATGATTTTCCCTTCTGGAGACTCTAGATTGCTGAGCAAAAAAATTCCACTTGAGCCTGATAAGAGGTGAAAAATGGTTTGTGGAAGCTTCACTGAAATTATAAATAAAATGTATTTTTATAGTTTATTTGTTTCATTTTTGGGATAACATTTTTTTAATATAGGTTGCTGGATAGGTTGTTTGTCAATCTGATAACAAAAAAAAGCATCTCCTATTTCTGAATTTCTGATGGTTAGTTTCATTATTTCAGTTACCTACTCATCATGTTTTATTTTTAATAGGTAGAATTGTAACTTTTTGTGAATAATTATATCTCATGAGTTTTTCTTCAACATCAAGTAAATTATGTCAATAGCAACTCCAGTGAAATTATGAAACATTATCCTATACATTGAAGGTTGCTTGAATAGGAAGTAATTGTGTGAAATTTTTCTATTGAACAGATTATTTCATAAACCAATGGAAGTCAGGAAAGGAGATCGAAATAGAAAATCAAACTATATTGTATAAATGACTATGAGTACCATGACCTATGAATTTCAAATGTTACCTGTTGAAACTATAGAACCAAACAGCAAATTAACAAGAATTATTTTATAGTATATGGGAAAAACACTCGTTACTGATGGTAAAATGCAGTGAACCCATAAATCTTCTATTGTTTCCTGGTAAATTACCTCATCTTCATAATAATAGTGGAGAGACCTGTAATACCAAATACATTTCATACATTTGGAAATTATCATTTCATATTATTTACTTACTCGTCAGTTTCATCCATTATTACTGAAACTAATCACAAAACTTGATTCTTCAATAATCATCTTTCAGATTTCAAACCATTTTCAAAATTCCAAACCGTTCGGAAGTAAACAAAACAAACTTGATAAATTAGGTTAGGGGACAGATAAAGTGTTGCCAGAAGAAAAAAACTAAATGTACTAGAATCACTATTGAATTGTACTAATACCACGTGAAATGTACCAGACATGGAATTTTGAAAAATCGATGAGAAAATTGATGAACAATGTATTTTTTTTTATATCGCTTGGAGCGCACGAAAGGAAATCCCTATAATGTTCAAAGAACATCGTGCGTTCCTAGGGAGGATAGGGAAAGGAGGTAGGTATTAAATTTTTTTTTGAACTTCTGGAGATTATATGTTGTTGGGAATACTTCCTCAGGCAATAAATTCCAGAAAAAAGATAACAATATATACAGCATCATCCATAAAAGATGACTGTACATCCAATATTTGAAAAAAAACATCAGAGAACAGTACAGAAGGTACTGACTGTAGTGACAGTTGAAGTTCAATGTCATGAATAGTCATGATGTCTCTCATCGTGTTCAGCCAGCTGGTTGGCTGACTGAAGAAAACAAGAAGAAAATCTGCCACTCATTCATATATTTTTGTTTGTCTTTCTAGCTTTGTGTAATAAATGTTCGTTTGTACTAAATTGGAGCTGAATGTACTGACCAAAACATGAAATTGTACCAGAATTGGGTGAAATGTACTAAAGGGTATAAATTGTACTGAATCTATACAAATGTACCAGCTCTGGCAACACTGCGGAGTTAACAGATGTGACGGAACACGAAACTTTGACAGTACAGTGGTACAGTGCTTACAAATTCAGTAGTCGCAGTTATTACTGTCGATACTTTGTCGATACTCCGTTCCGTTTACTGCGCAACCATAATTTCATGGCACGCGCACCAGGTTGCCTATGTTATGATTTCAACACTAGGACACAAAATATCCACCTATTAGACAGGGAACAGGCTGTACGTAGGTATTTTGGATTTTAATTATTAGAATACGTCTTTCGGGACTAGTGAGTCTTGGATTATTTAGGTAATGATATGAAAACAACGAACATTCAACCTGCGCAATTCCAAACCGCAAATTCGTTAATGCATGGAAGCAGATGGGAGGTACCCTTCAATAACCTTCAATTTATCTACTGGGCGAATTCCATTGGTGAAACTGGCTCGCACTGAGTGCATCGTTTGTATTCCATTGGTGAAACTGGAGTCGGGTTTTGAATTTCATTGGAAAACTGGTTCACAATAGGTCACATATAGTTTAGAGAAGGTTTAGAGCCAGTGCAACAATTCTTGCAGTACGAAGTCTGTTCCGTTTGAAAATGGCGGAAACATTGAATATGAATAGTTTGAAAACCACATTGTTAATGACAATCCAATCATCATCAAATAGTGATGAAAAGTTGGAGGTTTCAAGAAGATGAAGGAGATTACTTCCGAGAATTCATAATTTTATTGAAAGTATTTGGCGACTAGGCCTTTTCATTTAGATGACAAATGACTATCTCTGTTTACATCTCGCATCCAACAACAGTGGCGGCCATTTTCACCGAAACACTTACACCACAGTACCACACTCCTCAGTAACGAATAATTAACGTTTTTTGGCATCAACTTTTTTTTTATCGCTTGAAGCGCACGAAAGGTAATCCCTATAATATTCAAAGAACATCGTGCGTTCCTAGGGAGGATAGGGACAGGAGGTAGGTATTGGAATTTTTTTTGAACTTTTGGAGATTATATGTTGTTGGGAATACTTCCACAGGCAATGAATTCCAGAGCCTAGCCGTTCTATGGATGAAGGAGTCTTGATAAAGTGCTGTTCGACATCTTTCGAGGTTGACAACGAAAGGATGTGCTGACTGGGCTTGTCTAGTTCGTCTGATTGGTATTGCTAGTGAAGGGATGATAGCAGAGATTTACGAAGAACATTTTCCGTGGAAGTATCGATAGAAAAGTGAAAGGTCGCCGACCTTTCTACGGTGTTCCAATGATGTCAAAGAGTGAGTGAGTGTGGCGTCACCCACCAGGCGAATGGCTCTTCTCTGGATGGAATCTATAAGAGCATCAGCGTATGTTTTGGTGCTGAACCCCATATGTGGGAACAGTATCTGCGCTTTGTAGATCATGAGAAGCTGTTGAGGTGTAAAGTAGCTTTTCGCACGGAACAAGAATCCGAGTTTTTGTGAAGCAGCTTTTGCAATGGATCTGACATAATTATCCCATGAAAGAGTGTTGCTGATGGCAATACCGAGCATAGATATGGTGGGCTTGGTGGGGATGGTGGAGCCAGACATTACAATATCGGGCATACTGAGTTCCGCCTTTCTAGAGAAAATGCAGGCTTGAGTTTTGGTGGCGTTGAATTCAACTAGGTTGTTTGTTCCCCAGGCTATGATTTCAGCAAGATCTTCGCATTGACAGCATTGACCTGCCTGCGCCGTGAGTTCTTAGTTTCCTGGGAACAAATGGGAATTCTGGAAGAGAACGCAGTATGAAGGGTACTATATCATCTGCAAAGCTGTGGATGGGGCAAATTGTTACTCCCAACAGATCATTGATATGAAGCAGGAATAATGTTGGTGCCAAAATTGATCCTTGTGGAACGCCGGAATTGATGCCAAAGGTATCAGACGATACACCGTCCACCACCACGTGAAGCGATCTGCCTGAAAGAAAACTCGATAAGAGATGGCATAGCTGAGGTGGTAAGCCGTATGATGGTAGTTTGTGGAGGAGTCCTTCGTGTCAAACACGGTCGAATGCTTTCGAAATGTCCAACGCGACAGCTAGAGATTCCCCGTGTTTTTCTATTGAAGATTGCCATAAATGGGTGACGTAGGCAAGTAGATCTCCAGTAGATCTTCGGTGGCGAAAGCCGTATTGTCTATCATTGATGATTCCTGAGCTCTCCAGATATTTGATAAGCTCAATATTGATGGCTTTCTCCATCACTTTGGAGATTAATATATATATAGATTTATAATACAATTAATACACACCAGGAATATAAAAACATTGTATAAAAACAAGAATACTATGTTGTTATTGTTGTTTCTCAATGACGAATGCCCATGGTGGTTGACACTGTTGACATTTGACAGAACGTCAATAATACCCGCCATATTCGAAATGGCCAATCAGCATTTTGTGTTTGAACTATAGCCAATGAGACTTCACCGTCGCATTACCCAATGAATTGTTGGATCTAAAAACGAGCGCATGCGTCTTAAAAATATATCTAGATGAAAAGGCCTATTCAATGATGATGTATTAAAAAATGAAGTGCTCAAAATTATCTCCATGAAACATCTACTTTGCTTTTGATTGATGTTAAGAAATAATTTCAGGATGCGGATAAGTTATAAACAAAGACAAACCAACTTATCCGATTTAACCTCCAACAATAATTTCATTACACCAGTTCACATTTTGGAGAAAGTTTAAGTAGTGCGGGTGCAAAACTGATGCAAAACCAGTGCACCACCAGGTTTACAAATGGAATTCGCTAGTCTTCTGCGCAACCAGAATCCATGCCATGATTGGATATGAAAACAAAATTCTAGTAGAATGACGATATATTATAATTACTTTCTTAGAGAAAAACAGTCCTGGTACAAACATCGAAAATAATTCAGTGGTAGATAAGAGGGGGTATCATATTTCCATGATTACGATGGTAGCACCAGCGACAAGACATTTCAAGATAGAAGATATGGAATGTTTGTGTTTAGACCTCTGATGCACATTGATGACATTTGGCCTCCCGTGTTTCTGCTGATTCATTTTAGGGTACAAATTTTGGAAAGAAATTGTTGACATGAATATTACTCAATTTCGTCTACATGAAAATTGAGCTATTATCAAATGACCACAATGCAGCTTCACTCTTTACCTGGAGATAAATACCAATGCAAATATTGTCAAAATGAAACCAAACATCCAAAAACCAATACTTTCCTTTATTTGCAGATGGTCTTGCAATATTACATGACAGTTATTAACTAATGTGTACATTAATGGGCAGCTGCTGGCGCAGCCTTGGTTCGCTTCGTCTTCTCAACTGCCGTTTTCTTTTTGGAACTCTTCTTTGGTGCTTCTGGGGTGGATTCACCCTCCGTCAGCCAAAGCTCAATGTGACAGGGCGAGGACATGTAGGGGTTGATTCTACCGTGGGCACGGTATGTTCTACGCCTCAGACATGCAGCCCTGTTGACCTGAAACAAGTTTTTATGTGGATTTCATATTACATAGACACACACTTCTGGGCTTATAATTTGTTTTTTCAATCTTCCAGGGTTGATTTGTTGTTAATGTTGACTATTCTCCTGACCCGAATCAAGAGAAATTAATCAAAAGTTCCAACTGAACTTTAAAGTGAGACGTTCATCATGTTGAGAAAGACACAGAGGATTTTATTGAACTTCTTATTCCTTCTAGATTTCCCAAAATAAATTCCCAAAGAATTGCTCCCATTAGAACACAACGGAAAATCGTCAGCGTTACTGACGTCACAAGTACCATTGGAGAGATAAACAGCGTTGCCGTCTCAATCGATTCTTCAGCCCATATGGATATTTTCAATGTTACTTGATGGAAATCCATAGCTTATTGTACCAGAATTTTACCTGAAGAAGCTACTGTGTTAATGAAACATGTCTTGTACCGGTGTGAAAGCAGCAACGCCACATCATCCAGCACAGCTTCGCCAGAAGTCGTACACTGTACCACATGTGGTACTTTTCAGTGAAAAAAGTACAGTGGTACTACATTCCGAGAATGAGCCAAAATGTGGTACATAATGAAATGACGAACATCTAGTAGTTTCGTGGAGAATGTTGAGCGTTGGCACCACTGTGATCACGTCATGTCTACTGTTGTGTTACTTGTCATTTGTCGACCTTCTCACTTCAATTTGTCATTGTCTCTTGTCAGATGCAATTTGTCAGTTGTCAAATGTCATGTTCATTTCATCATTTTTTATTTATCTCATGGTCTCATGTCTCATCTCATCATTATTTTCACAATTCTTTTCACTTTTCAATTTTACAAGTTTTGTTTGCAGTAGCAGTACTAGCAGAAGTCTATGGAACGTTCAACATGGAAAAGTAAGAGATGAGGTTTGTAATAAATTCAAATACCAACATGTCATATGATAAACCACCAACAGGTTTTTGAAAAAACGGCAAGAGCCGGTAGAACAGGCAGTGGAAGTTGAACTAGTGGATGAGAACGAACTAAACAGTATTTGGTAAAAGTGCACTTATCATGCGATGGGGTTTTTTTCGAAAATTTTTTTTGGTACTTAAGAAAATAAAGGCCCTCCTAAAAAACGAAGAAAATTTTCACACAGGTTTCACGACAATTGGCTGGTGGAATACCCTTGGATGAAAAAGACTGACAAAAAGGGTGTACCATTTTGCGGTAATGGGTAGTGTTACACATTTAGAACACCATGAAGTCTCAGAAAAACATAAAAACAATGCAAAGAAAGTTCAGTTTTCCAAAAGAATACCAGACATTTTTGAATCTGAAAAATGGTCCAAACATCATGATTAAGTATATTCAGCTGAATTGAAATTGATCATGTTCCTCCATGAACACAACATCCCTTTCTTAGCCATGAAACATCTGCCGAAACTCATTAGGTCTTGTGATCCTGACTCTAAAATTTTCAAAGATATTTCCTGTTCCAGAACAAAAAGCACAGCTATAACTAATGAATGTTTAACTGCTGAGAGTCAAGAAGTACTGCTGGAAGACTTGGGGAAGAAAGTGGAGGGTTTTATTCCTTAATTGTAGATGAAACTACAGACGTTTCTACTAAAAAGTCATTGGCAACGGTAATTAGATTTTACCATAAAACTGTTCAAGATCGATTTCTTGCTTTGGTGAAAGTGAAATCTGCAAACGCAGAAGGTCTATACAATTCCATCCAAGTTACATTCAGGAAATATCAATTACCCCTCAAAAAGATGCTTGGTTTCCCAGCAGATAATGCATCACTAATGATGGGCAGGTTAACAGGTATTCAAGCACACCTGAGGAATAACAATGAACACATGATGATATTGGGATGTGTGTGTCATTCATTGCACCTTTGTTCTCCTGGTGCAGCTTCAAAACTTCCAAAAAGTGTGTAGGAATTTGTTAGAAGCCTATATAACCATTTTTCAAATCCTGAAACCTTACAAAATGCTTAAACCAGCACAAACAAGATGGTTGTCCTTACAGGTAGTATTCTTCAATCTTCTTTTACATTATTCTAAGATTCTTTTTCCAGGCTGTAGTTGATAGGGTTCTCTTATTGTGGAATCCACTGAATTTGTATTTCACAAATCTTCTTCACGAGGATCCCAAGGAAAGTACAGCAGTTATTTTGGAACAGTTAAGAAACCCAGTATATAAAATTTATTCACTGTTTTTGGCATATATACTGCCAATTGTGGATAAAATGAATTTACAGTTTCAGAGCCAAACAACACAGATACATATTCTATACTCTAGATTTTCCACTCTATACTCTTCTGTTTTGGGAAACGATATAAAAAAAGATGTGTTTTTGAAGTATGAGATCACTGGAAATGATAGTGATTTCAGTTTCAAAAAGTATGATCTAGCTAAAATAAATCCAGCAAACCCTGATAATTTAAAAAAAATTGAAGATATTTATTTTGGGGCATGTGCTGAATTGTACATCAGGGATAATAACATTCCAGAAGGAGACATGAATAAAATTAGAATAATTATTCTCAATTTTCATGTGGAACTCTGTGTACAAATTAGGAAAAGATTTCCATTTGGTGATAAGAAGTATGAATTCTTAGCTCATTTTGAACCAAAGATTGCATCAAGTGGAAATGTTCATTCAATATCTGAAGCAATTTTAAACCTTTGGTTGATGATATTGAAGCTTTGAACACTGAATGGAGTAATTCCCTCCATTCAGTGTCCCCATTTTTTACAATTGAAAGAAATGGAATCAGAAAATTTTGAGTCATTTTGGTCAAAGATTTCATAATTAAAAATAACAATGAATCTTCAATGTTTCCCAATTCGACAAAATTCATCATGTGTCTACCTCACTCTCCTGCCAGTGCAGAAAAGGTATTTTCCCAACTGAATCTGATGAAAAATTGCGATGGCTGGTGCGATGAGTGAAGAGCGAGAATAGGAGAGGAATATATTCCCCTCATTAGTGTCCACATTTTGTCCTTGGCTTCAGTGTATTCATGATTCATTAGTGTATTTAACGTAAAATAATGAACACTTTATGTTGGCAACACTGGAAATAAGAAGGAATGGAGAAGAAGACAATATTAACCTCAATATAAAAAAGGTTAGAATGTTCTTCACCATTTCTTCCCATCTCTAGTATTGTCAACATAAAATTTTGATCATTTTACGTTGGTACCCTGAAGACAAGGACAGAATGGTAAGACATTTTTTCTTTCTCAACGGTAGCTGAACTTCTCTATCTGATGACCTTGAAATCCGCCAATAACCCAGAGTGAGGGGGGAAGTAATGTAAAATCGTTTGAAATTATGAGTTCTGTGATCATGTCAAACTGATGAGACAACGCGCATGCGTTATTGGGGGTGGTACAAAGTGGGACATTTTCTTCACTCAGGTCGGTACAACTGTAGAAAAAAGTCCTGGCAACGCTGCCAGCAACGAATGAGATCAACACGGGCAGGCCGCAGAGAGACGATATCAATAAAACTCTTTCAAATCACATAGAAATGAAAATATTATGAATTTCACGATTTAATCAGTTATTAATGAATAGAAAACACCTCACTTAACATGATCAGATAGTTGTGTGATTTTGTAGCATCCATTCCACCCATCTTCCACCCTCTTATCAATATAATTCAAATTCCAACTTGAGAGGTCAGGAATTGATTTTTGCAAGATTTTTTTTCTTGAAACAGATGTCAAATAACTTCCTGAACACGATCAGCTAGTTGTCTGATTTTGTAGCAACTATTCCACCCCTCTTTTACCCTCTTATCTGTATAATTCAAATTCCAATTTAGAGGCCAGGAATTGATTTTTGTAATATTTTTTCCTTGGAACAGATGTCAAATAGCTTCCTGAACACGATAAGATAGTTCTGTTTCAAGAAAAAAATATTGCAAAAATCAATTCCTGACCCCTAAATTGGAATTTGAATTATATTGATAAGATGGTGGAATAGGGGTGGAATGGGTGCTACAAAATCAGACAACTATCTGACCGTGTTTCAAGAAAAAAATCTTCCAAAAATTGTTCCCAAAGCTCTAAGTTGGAATTTGAATTAAATTGATAAGAGGGATGGAATGGATGCTACAAAATCAAACAACTATCTGATAGTGAGATCTGTTTCAAGGAAAAAATACCGCAAAAATCAATTCCTGACTTCTGAGTTGGAATTTGAATCATATTGATGAGGGTGAAAGAGGGGTGGAATGGATGCTACAAAATCAGAAAACTAGCTGATCGTGTTCAGGAAGTTATTTGACATCTGTTTCAAGAAAAAAAAATATTGAAAAAATCAATTCCTGACCTCTAAGTTGGAATTTGAATTATATTGATAAGAGGGTGAGAGAGGGGTGGAATGGATGCTACAAAATCAGACAACTATCTGATCATGTTCAGGAAGCTATATGACATCTATTTCAAGAAAATAATATTGCAATAATCAATTCCTGGCCTCTAAGTTGTAATTTGAATTATATTGTTAAGAGGGTAAGAAGGGGTGGAATGGATGATAAAAAATCAGACAACTATCTGATCATGTTCAGGAAGCTATTTGACATCTGTTTCAGAAAAAAAATCTTGCAAAAATCAATAACAGACCTCAAAGTTGGAATTTGAATTATATTGATGAGGGTGGAAGAGGGGTGGAATGGATGCTACAAAATCACACAACTCTCTGATCTTGTTAAGTGAAGTGTTTTCTATTTATTTATAACAGATAAAATCATGAAATTCATATTTTCATTTCTATTCAATTTGAAAGAGTTTTAGGTTGCTGGATGATGTCATGTTCATGTTTTCACACTGGTGGAAATTGTATTGTTTGTGAAGTTTAACACATTTCATATTATGGATATTTCAGCATTCATGGCTCCCAATTCACAATATTCAACTGATTTCAACAATGTCATTGATGAACCTAGCAAGATGGTTTTGGAAGTCACTTACTGTTGTTTTCTTATAAATTGGATATTAGAGTGATGTCATCAGAATTTGAAGTTCATTAAAATGGTAAAAGGTATACCAAACTCATTCAGTTAGATTGTAAAAAGCTTGATATAAATATATAATTGAGGAAAGGAGCTGCAAATTTGTAGAATTGGCAATGAAGGTAAAACCTAGATTGGTGACATTTACTACATCAATAAAAAATATTGAATAATATCAAAAAATCATAACTGGATATTGAAAAATTGAAAACTATTCACTTAATTATTCCTCAAAATTCACACATTTGTGCAAATAAACAAGATACTAGAAAATCAATAGATTCCATAAAAATCACTCAGTAAGTGCTCTTTCTGAAGGACTAGCTGACTCACACAAAAATTCATCATCTTGCTACAAAATAGTGTGAAAAATCAAGAATATTATCCTCAAAATTGGGGAAACCATAACATATTACATGTATGCCTGTGAAGAGCACTGTAGCAGTGAATTAATAACAAACTGAATGAAAACTCAAATGTAAGTTCCAAATTGGATACAACTGACAATATTTTTAATTCTGAAAGCTTAGTTTGGATTTTAGGGCTATCAGAGGAGAAGGTAGCAATAATTATTCCAGTGAAGATTCCAACTTTGGAGCTACTTCAGAAAGAAAGCATGTTCCATTATCTGACACTGGCCTAAGCCTAATCCTAATTTGAGACATAGGTGAAGAATAGTTACTGATTCTCATTAAAAATACTCTAGGGTGAATAGTTATGTATATGTGCCTTTGGACAGCTAAAATAAAGACTGATGGATGGAAACACTTTCAGATACCATAGATTAATGATATGTTTCTTCAAATATGGATTAAACATTGAGAACATGAACAATATTTGAGAATAATATGGAAAAGTTGCTTGTAAGGAAGTATGTGTCTTCTCTCTTGTTAATATTCTTGATGTTACAAAGTACACAAAACCTACTTTTGTAGTAAAATATTAGTTATTCACCTCTTTTTCATGAAACAGGCTCATTTTTTTTAAATCCATTCAATTTTTAAATGTTCCTCCCTGTTACTTGAAAAACCTCCTAGATGTCAGTTTATTCATATAAAACACTCACTATATCATGATTTGAAAAGCCCAAAGATCAGCTAAGATGTACACACTAGAAACATTTAGGAATCAATTATTTGGCACAATCAAATTATCTTGAGATGATGGAATTTCATTGTGTGAAGATATATCATTTTTGAAACTATTATTCTAAATAAATTCCCCATCACTCTCTGTAAGAAATTGCTGAATTGCTGAATTTAATCAGGTGTTGATACTTTTGTTCACAAAGGATTACTTCATGATAATTTTATTGTATTCTAGTTAAAATAAAATCTAGATTCAACTAAACAAAAAAATAAACTGTCACAAGAATGCTGTTTTGGGAATTTTAAAGAATTTCTCATTTGAAACTGTTTTCATAGGGAATGCCTTATTTCTGTTGAGAATTGAGTTATATATTGATTAATTACCAACTTCATACTATCAATTCCACTAATCCAAGTCTATTCACAATTGAATCCATTAAAAAACAAAAAACTATGGATGTGAACATCCAATTTACAAAACAATAATGCAGGTTTGATCATCACCAACTGAAAGGCCATCAACTTTTGTAATTTGAGTTCAAACATGTGTTGTATGAATGTGCCCAACTCAAGACACAGGCCAAATGCAAAATATTCTGTGTAAATTCAAAGTTAGCAACTGGATCAACACAACTATAGTAACATACTGTTGGAATCACTGAAAACTCACTCACCTGTATGTGTTCTACTACTAGCCTATCAACATCAAGCCCACTGAAGTCAGCATTACTTTCAGCATTCCTCAAAAGCTGGAGCAAAAATTCGGCAGATTTTTTGGGCCAACGTCCTTGGGTAGTTCCAAATTGTTTGGCTTGTGCACATCTACCTACACCACCATTGAAACGTCTGAATGGAATACACTCCTTCATTGCAACTACATTCTTCAAGTAGGCCACTGCCCTTTTCAGGGGCATTTTCCTGATTGCATTTGCTGTTTCACATGTGTTCTAAAATAAATATCCAACATGATAGAGGTAACATACACTTCAACATCAAAAGGTAATATGAGTCTGAATATTACTCACTTTGAAGTGGACTCTCAAGTTTGATCCACGGGCTTTGCAGGATTTTCCAGCATTATCTGGTTCACGAGCGTATCGTCCCATTTTGGATTACGGAATCTGCAACAACACAAAAATGAGTGAGGTTAGAATCACTTTGGAAAACACTATGTATAAGAATTTCACTGCCTCCTCAAAAAATAAATCACTTCCCGGATTAGCTGAATATAATTAATATTATAGTTATTTATATTTTCACTGATTGAGTAGGATGATCATTATTTTCGAAGATTTCCGAAAAAATCACGAAAACAACATACCTTACGAATGTAGGATTAGAAAAGGAAGGTTGTATTTCGCAAAACACAAAACATAAATAAAGAAACGATAGTTCCACAGAACTAAAACACAGGATAGTACACGGACCATGATAGAAATTTGACAAGTGACAGAAATCTAGGAGGTTTTTCAGTAATCGTTTTAACAAGAATGACGTGTTTGCACTCAAGTTGCACTGGTCCCAGAGACCCATGGAAGATGGAAGACAGCCAAAGGTGTGTATTTCTATTTCTGTACAGAATTTTGTACGAGAAAATTTCTTGTTCTGTATCATACTTTTCACGGTACTGCTGGCCTGTTCCTCTAGGAAGGATCACAGTACAGGAACACTGTTTCCGATACACGAATTCAATACGACCTGAGTTGAAGCATCGTGTCATCGTGTCATGAGATCCATAATGCAATGCAACAAATAATCCGTGTGGTGAGGATTATTCCTCCCTGTATGAATGTTTCGTTTTGTATAAGTCGCAAATTCGAATATCGTACTCCACCAAATATTTGAAGTTAATTAGGCGCTTTCTGGGATGAGTGGAATGTCAAGGTGCCATGATAATACCGGCATAATCATAAGTGTTTACCTATATATATTATTATGTTGATATGCGATCACGAATTCAATACGACCTGAATTGAAGCATCTAGAGACAGTAAGCAAAAGGGACAGGGTGCACTAAACAATCCTTGCGGAAACAAGTTTACAGAACATTTTTGGCCGAGAGCTTCGCTTACGCCCGATCCTGATATGAGACATCATATATATGCTTCCACAGTATTTTTTTCGATTAACAATTTCGAAAAAAAGCAATCTCACCACACGAATTATTTGTCGGGAAATTTGTTGTATAACATCCTGATGCAAAAATTTTGACAATATATTCACAGAATTTCAATATTGTATTTTCAAAATGTTCATTTATTTTTTTTATTTATTTATTGTACGGGTAACCCCCATTATAATAAATACAGATCATAAATAATATCTATGTAGTTACTAAGAATGTTTAACTAATTAATAATTATATAGTATAAATTATACATATCAAAATAGATGAAAAAATAACTCCCACAAAAAAAATTATATACCATGCCCATATCTACTGATTATACAAATTGAAAACTTATATGTAATAATGATGCTCACAATGCCCTCAATACATTACTTTTGAATGCAGTAAGAGTTATGCCCGTCGTTATCTCTATGTTTTTCTCATTCACCACTCTGACTGTACGATCAATAGGAAAATGCATAACATAGTTAGAACGATGGAAGGAAATTCGAAACATATCAGAATTCCTGAGAATTCTACTTGGTACACAAAAAATATCATTTCGAGGAGCTCAGGACAAATAACAAAAGGCCTCCAATTAACTTAAATATAAACATCAGGTCAGCAATTGCTCTTCTTTTATTCAGAGAGTTGAAGTTGAGAACGTTCTGAATAGAGGTATAGGCATGGTTATCAACACGGATGTTCTTTTTATGTGCACAGAATCTCATAAATTTATGTTGAACTCTTTCTAATGTAGTGCAATCGCGATACTATTAATGCCATATACATATACAGTTCGTATTGAACTCGCTGACAGTAGTTTGCAGTCACAGATAATTGCAGTTACGCAAGATAAATCCCAACAATTTTGATGTATTCACTGAAATATCGTTCACATATGCTCCACAAATCGTAACTGTTCATCAAATGTAACTCCCAGGTCTTTAACTGATCTAACATATTATGTTAACTGGTTTCCATCAATAGAGTATGAAGTAAAAAAAAATTTTTATTCAATTTATAAAAGCTTATTGAGCAACATTTACCTATTGATATTCATATGCAAGTTATTTTCATTACACCACCTAGTCGAGTTGTCCAAATCATTGTGAATCAAATTAACATCATCTAATGACTTCATTTATCTGAAAAGCTCCGAATCATCTGCAAACAATAGAAAATCTGTATTTATGAAATTAACGAAAATGTTGAATAGAAGAGGAGCACAATGAGACCCTTGAGGTACACCTGAAGGTACATGAATAATATTCGATTTTGCATTCCCTACCCTAACTTGCTGAGTACGACCAGTTAAAAAACTTTCAATCAAGGATAGAGATTGATCAGAAAAACCAAATGAACCCATTTTATTTAGCAGAATTCTGTGGTCTACACGATCAAATGCCTTGGAGAAATCAGTATAGATTGTTGAGATTGTATTCTCAAAATTTCGAGATTTTTATAAATAAATCTCATTCAATGTGGCACAATACGCCGCCGTACTTCCGACGTGTGGTCACACAATTTTTTCAACTTTTTTCGAAGTAATTAATTGAAAATAATACTCTGCCCGCATTTAGTGTTGGGGCCAACAGTGATTCGAATTGGATTCGATATTACATGTTTTTTCAGGAGCTTCCGTATAGTATATAGACACAGGTTAATCTCTAGCATGGATTATTGAGTCTTTTGAGTCCTCTTTCTCTTTAGGTGCTTCAACTCAGGTCGTATTGAATTCGTGCTTTTTCGTTATTCTGTTTTCAATTCTGTGATCTGTCATCTGTGATCTGTCATCTGTTATCTGTTACTTCTGCTCTTGTTGTCTTTGTCAGTTCTTGTTATTTTTTATTTCATTACTCAAAGTTCAAAACAATGCAAAGAACTTTTAGCATTGTTTTTAAAAACAAATAAAGTAAATGCTAGCAATATTCAACCCATGAAAAATGAATGTGTATCAACCTGACGTTCAGACAATGAATACAATCAATAAAAAATACGAAGACATTCGTTGGTACCATGGAAGACTATCGCGAGATGAAGCAGACAATGTTTTGATGCAAGGTATCACATTGTAGAGGTAATTATCATCTGAAATAATCCAGCTGAACATTTTTATTCATTTTCAGATGGGCGAAAACACGGATTATTCCTTGTGAGAGATAGCAATTCTTCTACTGGAGATTATGTTTTGTCAGTTTATCATAATGATCAAGTCAGTCATTTCCAGATAAGAAGGCATACTGAAGATGCTTTCTTCTCAATAGGTATGTTAAGATTTGTAGCTTGAGACCTGACGACTAGATTTTGATTTTGCAGTGGAAAATTTGAAATTTCATGGGCTAGAAGTCTTGATAGAATACTACACTGCAACACCAAATGCTTTGTCTGAAGACCTTGTTTTGACTGAATATATTGAAAAATATCCTCCACCTCATGATTCAAGAAGACGTGGAAGAACAAATTTACTACACAGGTCTACTGATCAAGGGAATTACACAGTGGTGTCAGAGCTATTGAAAACTGATTATCCTCATGATGCAAAAAATCAGGATGGGCAGACTGCTGCTCATTTGGCAAGTCTGGCAGGGAAAAATGATATTTTATCTAAACTCATTGAATCTGGATCTAGTGTGAATTTGAGAGATTCTGCAGGTTGCACTCCTTTGCATGTAAGTGTGAAAATGAGTTTACTTTATAGAATAAGGGTATGAGTTCCACAAAGTTCAGTATTGAACTAAATTGTGCTGCTGCTGATAAAAAGATTTTCAGGGGTTCAGGGGGGTTTAGATAAGCCTTATGGGATTTGTTTATTGTTTTCCAAATGTCTTAATAACAAAGGAAAGTAAGTTAACACTTGAAATGAGAAGAAATGGAGAAGAAGACCATTCTAACTTCAATATAAACAAGTTAGATTTTTTGTCTAACCAACAAAAAATTTTAATTATTTCATGTTGGAACCCTGAACATAGAGATAGAAGGGGAGGATTGACAGTAGACATACAGGGTTTTCCAACTTCCAGTGGGATAGAAAACTTGAAAATTGATATGCTGTTATAATCTACCTGATATGTATGTAGTTCTCCATCTATTCAGGGTGTGCCAAAAGTATGTGCAAACTTTCTTACTTTCAATAGAAACCCAAATTTTGGACCATTCTTATAATTCTCTCGGCACTCTGGTACACAACACTTATAAGGTATTATTTCTCCTAATAAAACAGAAAAAAATTCACAAAACAGTATTTATTCTGATGAATATCCAACAAAGAACCTATAATGGAGTCTTGTCATAAATCATCTCAATCAAATCAATTCAATTTGATCTCTGAGATTACATACTTCAATATTTGGAATGATTTTAAATTGATTGTTTTCATTATTTATCTGGCATTAACTAGGTGACCTGCTAATGATCACTTTGATCTTCAACTTTAGCTTACTTTGTTTATGAATTCCCTGTACACTCTATTCAAACTTTTTTCTTACCACTTCATGCTTGTTCTGTTCTGTTCTTATATGCATTCTTAAAAAAATATTCAGAATACTGCTCAGTATAAAATCTATCTATGCCTCATAAACACTTGATAAAAATATTTTGAGTTCATTGAGCTAAATGTGGACTGTCCTAATTTGAAATTACATTCTACTTTCTTAGTGCAATAATAAATTTGGTTGAGTCTACACTCTGTTCACGCGCCTGCGCTCTCGCCAGTTTCAGTACTTGCACCAGATCAACTTCCCGGCCACCATGCGGCTACTGGTGATTTGAATAATTTGATAATGACCTTCTACTTCCTAAGTGCATTCATTCTCATAATGAATTCAGTTGCCTGTTCCAGTACGCCTGCCAGAACAACTTCCCGGCCAGATAATTTGGAATGACTTATTTCCTAACTGCATTCGTTCTCCTAATAAATTCCGTTACCTGGTCCAGTTCGCGTGCCAGAGTAACTTCCCGGACAGATAATTTAAAACGATCTTCTACTTCCTAAGTGCATTCGTTTTTATAAAAATAAATTTAGTTGCCTTTTCCGGTACGCGTGCCAGAACAACTTCCCGGCCAGATAAATCGAAACAACCTTCTACTTCCTAAGTGCATTCGTTCTCAAAATAAATTCGGTTACCTGTTCCAGTACGCGTGTCAGAACAAATTCCCGGCCAGATAAATTGAAATGACCTTCTACTTCCTAAGTGCATTCGTTCTCATGATAATAAATCGGGTTGCCCGTTCCAGTATGCGAGCAAGAACAAATTACCGGCCAGATAAATGGAAACGACCTTCTACTTCCTAAGTGCATTCGTTCTCATAATGATAAATCCGGTTGCCCGTTTCAGTACGCGTGCCAGAAAAACTTCCCGGCCACCGTGAGGCTGCTGGTCCAAATAATTCGAAACGACCTTCTACTTCCTAAGTGCCTTCGTTCTCATAATAATAAATCCATTCACTTGCTCCAGTACGCCTGCCAGAACATTTTCCCGGCCAGATAATTTGGAATGACTTATTTCCTAACTGCATTCGTTCTCCTAATGAATTCCGTTACCTGTTCCAGTTCGCGTGCCAGAGTAACTTCCCGGCCAGATAATTTGAAACGATCTTCTACTTCCTAAGTGTATTCGTTTTTATAATAATAAATTTAGTTGCCTTTTCCGCTGCGCGTGCCAGAACAAATTCCCGGCCAGATAAATTGAAACGACCTTCTACTTTCTAAGTGCATCTTTTCTCATATTAATAAATTCGGTTGCCCGTTTCAGTACGCGTGCCAGAACAACTTCCCGGCCAGATAAATTGAAACGACCTTCTACTTCCTAAGTGCATTCGTTCTCATAATAATAAATTCGGTTACCTGTTCCAGTACGCGTGCCAGAACAACTTCCCGGCCACCGTGAGGCTGCTGGTCCAAATAATTCGAAACGACCTTCTACTTCCTAAGTGCATTCGTTCTCCTAATAATAATGCTCTGGTCCAGATACTTTTAAACGACCTTATTCAGCGCATACGTTCTAAGAATAAATCGGGTTGCCCGTCCCAGTACGCGAGCCAGAACAACTTCCCGGCCACCGTGCGGCTGCTGGTCCAGATAATTCGAAACGACCGTCTACTTCCTAAGTGCATTTGTTCTCATAATAATAAATCGGGTTGCCCGTTCCAGTACGCGTGCAAGAACAACTTCCCGGCCAGATAATTTGAAACGGCCTTCTACGTCCAAAGTGCATGTGTTCTCATAATAATAAATTCGGTTACCTGTTCCAGTGCGCGTGCCCGAACAACTTCTTGGCCAGGTGAATTGGAACGACCTTCTACTTTCTAAGTGCATGTGTTCTCGAAATAATAAGTTCGGTTACCTGTTTCAGTACGCGTGCCAGAACAACTTCCCGGACACCGTGCGGCTCTGGTCCAGATAACTTGAAACGACCTTTTACTTCCTAAGTGCATTCGTTCTCATAATGATAAATCGGGTTCCCCGTTCCAGTACGCTTGCCAGAACAATTTCCCGGCCACCGTGATGCTGCTGGTCCTAATACTTTGAAACGACCTCTTACTTCCTAAGCGCATTCGTTCTCATAATGATAAATCAGGTTGCTCGTTCTAGTACGCGTGCCAGAACAGCTTCTCGGCCACCGTGAGGCTGCTGGCCTAGCTAATTTGAAACGACCTTCTACTTCCTAAGTGCATTCGTTCTCCTAATAATAATTTTGCGCCACCGTGCGGCTCTGGTCCAGATAATTTGAAACGACCTTCTTAAGCGCATTCGTTCTAATAATAAATCGGCTTGCCCGTTCCTGTACGCGAGCCAGAACAACTTCCCGGCCACCGTGAGGCTGCTGGTCCAAATAATTCGAAACGACCTTCTACTTCCTAAGTGCATTCGTTCTCATAATAATAAATCCGGTTGCCCGTTCCAGTACGCGTGCCAGAACAACTTCCCGGCCAGATAATTTGAAACGGCCTTCTACGTCCAAAGTGCATGTGTTCTCATAATAATAAATTCGGTTACCTGTTCCAGTGCGCGTGCCCGAACAACTTCTTGGCCAGGTGAATTGGAACGACCTTCTACTTTCTAAGTGCATGTGTTCTCGAAATAATAAGTTCGGTTACCTGTTTCAGTACGCGTGCCAGAACAACTTCCCGGACACCGTGCGGCTCTGGTCCAGATAACTTGAAACGACCTTTTACTTCCTAAGTGCATTCGTTCTCATAATGATAAATCGGGTTCCCCGTTCCAGTACGCTTGCCAGAACAATTTCCCGGCCACCGTGATGCTGCTGGTCCTAATACTTTGAAACGACCTCTTACTTCCTAAGCGCATTCGTTCTCATAATGATAAATCAGGTTGCTCGTTCTAGTACGCGTGCCAGAACAGCTTCTCGGCCACCGTGAGGCTGCTGGCCCAGATAATTTGAAACGACCTTCTACTTCCTAAGTGCATTCGTTCTTCTAATAATGATTTTGCACTACCGTGAGGCTGCTGGTCCAGATAATTCAAAACGACCTTCTACCTCCTAAGTGCATTCACTTTCATAATAATAAATTGGGTAACCTGTTCCAGTACGCGTGTCAGAACAACTTCCCGGGCACCGTGCGGCTGCTCGTACAGATAATTCAAAACGACCTTCTGATTCCTAAGTGCATTCATTCTCATAATAATAAATTCGGATACTTGTTCCAGTACGCGTGCCAGAACAACTTCCCGGCCAGATAATTTGAAACGACCTTCTACTTCCTAAGTGCATTCGTTCTCATAATAATAAATCCGGTTGCCCGTTCCAGTACGCGTGCCAGAACAACTTCCCGGCCACCGTGCGGCTGCTGGTCCAGATAGGGGGCGCCAACATTCAGGCGAGGCACACCGAGACGGGGGCAGTGCCCCTGCACGAGGCGGCGAGCAGGGGCTTCAAGGAAGTGGTGGTCGAGCTACTGAGCCTGAACGCGCCGGCGCGGCCGCGCAACAAGGAGGGCCTGATCCCGGCGCAGCTGGCCAGGGGGAACAATCACATCGAGTGTGCCGTGATTTTAGGTGAGGTCGCTGTCGTTCTGGGATATTACCGATGCCGGGTCGCATTTTTTTATCTTTTGTATGGAGCACCCCGTACACCGCATTCTGGTATCATCGCGTAATTTGGGCTTCATTTCAAAACGAGCATTCGATGATACTGGTATTGCGAAATCTAAATCACAGTCGCAAACCGTTTTTTCCTCAGAGCTCTGTACATTTTCTGAATAATTATTGAAATTCCAATATTTCATAACATGAAAAACGCAGGAAAACGTGTGACGTTATCCGTGAACAATTCAATGCAACCATATTGGATTCAAATTACGTATCCATTCTCTATTTCTGTAAGACAAGTGCAAGAATAGTTCTGATTGTCCTCTCAATCAAAATATGAAATTAATTTTCTGGACTGAATGTTCACTGCAGATACCAGACTGACACACAACACACAACCGCAGGATCAGATAATATGAGGATTATCTTTGAATATTCACAGTATTTGTTAGCTTCGACCTTGGATTTGACTAGATGATAGATTTTGAAGATGATGGTGACAGACGAGACTGAAGTCAGAATATTATAGGTTAGAATAATTCTTCTTCATTGCATCAGGAATCAGGTGGTCACAGCATTGTCCTCTGTGAATGTGAATACTGTTGTCATTGGTGATATTGAATCTCATAGGGTGATTACTAGTTTCAAATTTGGCAACGTCAAAATATCTCGTTTCGATCTATGCCAGATGGCAGATGAACCTGGCGTTTTTCGAAGGTGCCGCTTTTCAATTAATAAACAAAAGTATTTTCGATGATTTTAAATATCGACTGATATCATCAAATACTATTAATACACGGACCGATCAATATAAAATGAGTAACACGGCCCAAATGAACCACATTTCCATGAAGTATATTAATCGCAAAATTAGCTTTGACAACAAAATATAAATTAAAAAAAAATTAAACTCGTGCGGACTGAACCCGAGCTCTTACTCATGGCAGTCGGACATTTAGCTCGCTGATTTTTTTTGAGCGCTGTCGTACTCGTACTAGGAGTTCTATACATGCCGAGATCGGGGGTTCCGAATGCGGCTTCACACAAAAATGCTGCCGGGTTTGAGACGATTCGGAGGTAATTCGTGAGAAGCACGAACCACTAGATGGCACTAAAAAAACGTCGAATTTTTAAGTGAATGTGGTCAACTAACATGTGACATAAGGATCAAATATAAATTGGTCGTTTTGAAATAGATATTTGAGGAACCAAATCATCAATCGGAGACATTTTCGATGATGAGCTATTGAACAATATTTATAGAAAGCAAAAAACGCACTTTACATAAGTTTTATAAATTCATATTGAGCACACTCCTATACGAATCCTGTGCTGACTTGGGAATCTTCACAGACCATTGCTGACGTCACAGAGCTAATACGCGATTTTGCTAGATCGACTGCGACGCTGTCATGTCCATTTATATGTTCGGGCATTATGAAATATTGTATATTATTTTGTATTGTCTGCATTGAGAGTTTATTTTAATATTGGCTACTTTATATGGAATGATATTTGTAATTTGATTATCTGATTAGTGGAAAAGTATGAACCACATTTGTGGATGCATGATGGAATGACTAATTATATAAATGTCTATTTCAAAAATATCTAGAATACTTCCATTACTCAAAGGTGAATATTGAAATGGTTAGAATCAGAATAAAATTCTAAGTTGAAGGTATCCTGAGTGGATTTTCACTGTTTCCAAGATAATAGTAAATTATACTTGGCAACCGCGCTCAAAACCAATTTTACACCAAACCATGCTGATAGCTGTCAATTTATTGAGGTTATCATTCTATTGTTTATTCTTGTTTACAGTTTTTTTTTCTTCTTAATTCAGGGACTAGTATTATATATGCGCTGTTTTCGTTGTATTCACACTTGTTGATTGTGATCAAGTTGCTGTGATTCGAGTTGAATTTTATATCTGTAGACTTATTAGTTAGTCAGAATTTTCATTTTCCTTATTCTTCGAGTTCTCCACCGATTACGTCATCATTTTCAGCCAGAATATTTCTTAATTGCTCTTGTTCAAAAATAGAAATGATTCGAATCAGAACCAGAGGCCGCACACTGTGATTTATTCAAAAATGACTACAATAATTTTGACAGTGGCGTCGATTCTATCTATATCTTGACAATTATTGTCAATTATTCCGTTCTAGAACAATATCAGTGCAAAGCAACAAAAACGGTGAAGAGCGAATGGTACCACGGTACGTTAGATAGACCGGAAGCGGAGGCGATAATAAACCAGTGCAATCCCAAGAACGGTACCTACCTAGTGAGGTTCAGCGAACGGAATAAGAAGAGCGTTTTGACCTTGTACAATGATGAAAGGTTCTTCAATTACGTCATACAAAATAAGGTAGCATCATCGAATGATGGCGATTCCGGATGTAATTCTAAATGTTCATTTACAGGATGGATATTTGTTCATTGACGATGGACCATATTTAGAATCTTTGGAACACATTGTCGAGCATTACAGTTTGATGCCCGATGGATTACCGACAGTATTACAGATTCCTGTACCGCCGAAGCCTAAACCTCCAGTGCCTGAGGTAATAAATCATCATATTCATGTTTCTGAATTCTCACTAATTGTCTGCTTGAATACAGAGTGTTCCGAATTTTAATTTGTCGCAATTGAATTTATGTTAGTCTGAAAGGGATATTGGATTGTCTTTGTTGAAGCTCAAGTCTTGACATAGTTAACTCGAACTAAGCTCGGTAGGCAATGATTGAATGAATGAATGAATGTTGTTGATGGTCACGGGCTCAAATGAGTGAATTCAATCCAAATGTGCATGTAACTGAGCTATAGCAGTGACATTACATGAGTGCATCCATTTTTTGATAAAATATGCTCAATACTTCAAGAAACACCATTTGAATACCCTACAATTTCATGGTACATTCAAACTTAGCGTTCGTCTATCCAGTACTGACGTCATAATCCCTTTTCCAGTTTTATTTTGAGGAAATTTCGAGTAAATATTTTTCAATTTTCTGATCGAGCCTACTCACCAGTTGGCGCTGCTAAAACGTCAATGTCTAAGTCAAAAATCCCAAAAATTTTGCCGGATAGCACTAATATAATATTCGAAAAAACTATAGAATGTTTTTTCATTCTCAATGGGGAACTTTACCACCAATTGAGCTCTTTTCTACCTTGAACGAGAGAGTGGAAAGTTGTCCCCTCTTCCAGCTTTCTCTTCAATGCTACCAACGTGGCCGCATTGAAATATAGAGAGGTCCGATAAATATTTCCTTGTCTAACAGATAGTTTGTGCCACTGAACTATTTTGGAAATCAAAGGTGTCAAAATCAGTATGATATAATCTGTAAAGACATATCACATCATTATAATATCTCACTAGAACTGAACTGACTCAGTTATTATGTGTTCTTTCGAAAGAATTTGATTAGTTAGAATGCATGTTAACTGATTCAGTTCAGGCAAAGTGAAATATGTGAGTTCATTCGCGATAGAAAATAAGCGTACGCCACCGATCGGAGTTCTTGAGAGCTGTCAAAGCAGCATGTTTACTTTGTTTTCATTGGTTCACATTTGTATTTTGTTTGTACTTATTGGTCACATCAATGATGGAAGTAAGATATGGTGCGCGTATTCGGCCATTATTACGTATTGAAAATTTCAGAAAAATCACTCGACCGCCTACTATGATTTCTCTAGGTCACAACGAGCGAGACGTTGATTCTACATTTACCCGCTAGATGGTGATGCTGCTATTGCTGCTGTGACGAGTGGAAATAAAATGGCAAATGGCATTTTAGGTACGCGGAACATATGCAAAATCTGCGACAATTTCAAAACTGACAGATGTCATAATTGTGCAATGTCGCCATCTATTAGAAGATCGACGGAACCATTCCTCTGGCTGTTCTCGAGAGGTCGAGTAAAATTTCAAGTTCAAGTTGTTACCTTCAGGTGGAGTGACGTGTTATTTTCTATCGCGAATAACATCGAAAATAGTTCAGTGGCGCAGACTAGAGGTTAGACAAGGAAAGATTTATCGGATCTCTCTATATTTCAATGCGGCCACGTTGGTAGCATTGAAGAGGAAGATGGAAGAGGAGAGAACTTTCTTATCTCTCGTTCAAGGTAGAAAGAAGAGCTCAATTGAGATCTTTTCTACCTCATGATCAAAATATCTTTCAAATTACTATATCTTTCCTACCCTTCATCCAAATTCAATCAACTTTCCTATGGTTGTATAGTTCGATACTCCAGAGATTTCAAGGATACTGTAACTCTTAAAAGTCTGTATTATGCATTTGTCCGATCGAAGCTGGAATATGCTTCGGTAATTTGGAGTCCTCATATTTAAACTCATATCGACAGCCTTGAATCGATTCAGCGGCGCTTTTTGAAACTATTCTTGCAAAAAAGATGGAGAATATCCAGAAATTGGAATTCCACATAAAGATTTACTTGAGAGACATTTATTCAGCAGTCTACAAACTCGAAGAGAGTACCATTCAAATATAATCCTTTTCAAAACAATCAATACATTATGTGACTTCCACCATTTGACGCAAAGAATTGAATTTCACGTTCCAATAATGGCGTAATTACCGAGTGAATCTAACCTTTTACTTGCCTCTCCACGCACGAACATATGTTGAAACTCTCCAGTACAAGGAATCTGTGAAAATTATAATGATCATTGCACAGCTTTTGACATTTTTCATACAACAATCCAGCAGATTAGATCTTTCTTTTTTCTTATTAGGCGATATTTGTTAATTATTATTCTTGTTTACTTATATTCCTGTATTTCTTAGTTTGGAATTGGAATCATTCTGTGAACTAAGTAAATGAATAAAATTTCACGATATTATAAATCAATTTTTCTTTGCCGGTTTCATCAGTACATTTTTACCGAACTGTGAGGTTTAGGGCTTCCATAATATCGTACCGCGCCTACCTTAGTGGGTATAGTATAGTAGGGTATAGTATATAAGAATGATTGCAACTATTGTTCTAGTGGTTGTTCTTCTTTATTTTGTTGACCTCTTCCTTCCCGTAACTTCGCCAGATCATTTTTACGTATTATTCTTATGGCTCTATTTCAGTTGTAATATTCCCTAGTTACATTGGTCGGTTGGTATCATTGTACAGTGTGACCCACTTCTAATGGAAACACCCCTGTATTTTTTTTATCGCTTGGAGCGCACGAAAGGAAATCCCTATAATGTTCAAAGAACATCGTGCGTTCCTAGGGAGGATAGGGACAGGAGGTAGGTATTGGAATTTGTTTTGAACTTCTGGAGATTATATGTTGTTGGGAATACTTCCTCAGGCAATGAATTCCAGAGTCTAGCCATTCTATGGATGAAGGAGTTTTGATAAAGTGCTGTTCGACATCTTTCGAGATTGACAACGAAAGGATGTGCTGACTGGGCTTGTCTAGTTCGTCTGACTGGTATTGCTAGTGAAGGGATGATAGCAGAGATTTCCGAAGAACATTTTTTGTGGAAGTATCGATAGAAAAGTGAAAGGTCGCCGACCTTTCTACGGTGTTCCAATGATGTCAAAGAGTGAGTGAGTGTGTATCTTACGTTATCGTTGGGTAAGGGTCCTGAAATTTGATGGAGCGAGAGATATACCAAAAATACACTCTATGACGAAGTGGGGTCATCTTCCCCAATTTACGGAAGATGATATTAGGAGTCAAAATAGGTTGAAAATCACTTCGGATTCGGAATCAGGACGCCCAATTCACTGACTATTCATATTCTTCCTGGAAAATTTTCAGTTCAGTTGTCGCACTTTACGGAAGCACCTCCGTATCTTACGTAATTGACTTTATCTTTGGACTCTCCCTCTCTCCTGCAAATTTCAGAACCCTACCTCAATGATTACGTGAGATACGGGGGTGCTTCCATGAGAAGTGAGACAAAATTTAATTTTTCTGAACAGGAAATTTTCTAGGAAAACAATGGATAGTCAGTAAATTGGGCGTCCTGTTTCCGAATCCGAAGTGATATTCAACCTATTTTGACTCCTAATATCATTTTCCAAAAATTGGGGTGGTTCCATGGCTGTTGGCGAGCAGTGTATATCACTGAAGATGACCCCACTTGGTCTTGGAGTGCATTTATGGTATTCCTCTCGCTCCAGCAAATTTCAGGATCCTTACCCAACGATTACGTAAGATACAGGGGTGTTTCCATGGGTTGCATGCAAGAACTGTCAGATGACCGACCCTGGAGGCATAACATTGAAACACAACCTCACTTTTCTTATTTTTTTACAAGTGATTGAGATAGTTTTTCACAATTATTTTGGCATAGGAATCGTATTTTTCGGCTATTCATTAATTCGCTCATGCCATCACATTGTGCTATTGTACAATGCACAAAAACTACAGCGGAAGACGAAGGAATCCGGTTGGTACATTATAATTCAAAAGTAAGTACCTTCTCCAAATAAACATTATTATTATTATTATTATTATTATTATTATTATACTATAGTCACTCACATATAGTTTTCATTTTTGAAATTTGGTAATTTCTCTGACTTCTCATCGGAATTCCTTCTGCAATAGGAGCTAATAGTTAATACTCGTAAAATTTCTAAAATAATGCAAGAAGATTGGATTCATGCAATCAAACAGGAGGACTGGTCTGACATGCTGACGAAATAAGATCATGTGTGTTGTAGACATTTTCAATCTATTAGCAGTATTAGCTTGTATTGCAGAAGTGGCAGAAGGAATTTCAATAATGAATGACAACATTTCATAATGAAAACAATGTGAGATTACTATTTATCTGAAAAATTATATCCCTTCGTCTCTCGCTGCATTTTTTGTGCATTGTACAACGGCACAATGCGAAGGCATGCTTGGAATAATGAATAGCGCAAAAAACACGATTCGTATGCCAAAATATTGTGAAAAACTATTTCAATCCTTTGATTCCTCTGTAGACAAATTAAAAAAGTGAGGTTGTGTTTCAATAATTCACAGAAGAGTGAGGTTGTGTTTCAATATTTTGCCTCCAGGGTCGGTCATCGTGCACGCGACCTATTAGGGGGCCAGGTAGCCGTGCGGACAGAGTGTCAGTATTCTAATCCGCATTCGCGTGCCGGTCGTGGGTTCAATTCCCTGCGACTGCAGACATTTTTCTGATGGCCTAAGAAAGTTTTTGGGATCACATGTTAAAAGGTAAGGCCCTCGTCATTCCTTGCTCGCACAAGACTCTCGAAGACTTCTGAGGGTGTCTCGTAAGGGGTCAACCGAATGACGGATAGAACAATTATAGAAGTGGATCACACTGTATGTACTGATGGTCAAATAACTTACCAAACTTGTGAAAATGAAAGTTATGGATTCTAAACAAACAACGATTGTTATTCGCCATCTAAATGAAAAGGCTCATCAGAAACACACCTAGGATATTTTTCCACGTTGATAATGAAGATGCTGTGGAATATCTTCATCTTCGTTTTTTCTGTTCCCAGTTCTCTACGATGCCAAAACCTAAGAAGAGGACCAACGTGAAACCTGCCGCCAAAGTGGTGCCAAACACAGATGAGAATCTGACGCTCAAATACTTTCCTAGTCACTTCCAGAACATAACTTTCACCGGCGATTTCGTCACTGCCAACAATAATAACAACTATTCAGAGAACGAAGAAGATTACATACCAGCCGAAAGATTGACAAAGGGCGCTCTCATGGGAGAAGGAGAGTTTGCCTCAGTCTACAAAGGTAACACTCGATAATGAGCCTTTCCAGTCATTTCTAGAAAAAATATATCTCGACATATATGGCTCTGGAATACCTTGAAATGATATTTTGAGATTTGTTTTCATCAATTCATCATTCATCGCATAAAGAATGATTGAAAACGCAAAAATGAACGAGCGAATTCAAACGATCAGACATGGCCGCGAAACGTGTGACGTCAGCAATTTGGATTGGTAATGGCCTCACCTTCTCGCAGGTGCCAATAAAATACACAATGGACTTGACAATAATGCTAACTTGGACAGAAAGCTAAGATTTGAACATTCCTGGTACTGAAAAATTGCATTGCATACCTACTTAGTTAGATGGTTGATTTCTGTTGATAGATTATTCGAAATTGAAAATGAAATATCATCTTGTATCGAATTATAGTGAAGATATTAATGAAATTCCCAGTTTCAAATCTCTTGGAGTAAAATATTTTCGAGTTTAGGTAGCGACCTATACATATCTACCTACAATAGGCAAATGGACAAATGTTGAATCAATCAATACTAAATTTCTTACCCGGGTTTTTCGCGAATAATTATTGAACGGTGAATGATATGTATTCTCCTAAGAAATATGTTCAATTTTGGCTCTTTCTTAATGCGACTTATAGATTTAATCTGAAGTAGGTATGGAGAGAGTATTTTATTTTTGAATTTTGAAATTGGCAAAGTATCCACACAACTTGTGGTTACTTTGCCATGAAAAAATTAATTTTCGGCAAAGTTCATTCTTCAGATAAGATACTTTTCCATCCACCCATCACTATATAACAGGGGCTTCACAACCAGAAAGAAATAAACACAGATTTTTGATAAAAATGCTTTTTAGTTTGTCTAACGTATGATGAACCCCTTTAGCAGTGACCGACCGTACTGTATCTGATTGCTCTAGCTTCTCTGACCACTGGTTATCTGCTTGTAAAATAGACACTCCATTTCAGAAGAATGATGATTTCGAATATAAGTTCAGGAATTTTAGACACTTTAACACTCATGAATTTCAGTACACATTAATTCATTCTAACTTTGATTCAATTTTCTTACCAGGAAGCGTGGATGAAAAAGTTCAGAAATTGAACTCTCTGATAATTAACTGTTTCGATCTCCATGCACCTATCAGAACAGTTCGTATCACTAAAAAAAAGGCGCCATGGTTAACTGACAATCTCAAACTCCTAATGCGCCTGCGGGACAGAGCTCTGACCAAATACAAACGGAGCAAGTTTCAACATCACTGGGAATACTACAAACAACTAAGAAACCTGACCAATCGAACAATTAATCTGGAAAAGAAGGCCTATTTAGAATTCAGTTTGAGAAACAAGAACAATATGTGGAAGGAGCTCTCGGATTTGAACATTCATAACAAAAACTCGAACAATATACCACATCATCTCGAAAAAGTTGAAGAAATCAATGATTTCTTTAGTAAGTGTTCAACCAATGCTCAAGCCCCTGACGGTGATCTACTGAACTTTTTCTCTAGCAATCACATTAATGGTCATTCTAACTTCGATTTCCACGGAACAAATGATGAAGAAGTATTCCAAAATATTCTCTCGATAAAATCTAATGCCGTTGGCGCAGATAGTATAAGTGTAAATATGCTTCTCCATTGCTGTCCCTTCATCCTGCCTTACATAACACATATCTACAATGAATGTATTGAATTGAATGTCTTTCCAGTTAGTTGGAAAAAGTCGCATGTAATTCCATTGGCTAAAACTAGTAAACCACAAAACTACAACGATTTACGCCCTATCAGTATCTTATGTGTCCTCTCAAAAATATTTGAGAAAATAATAAATAAACAAATTCGAATTTATTTAGAGCAAAATAACATATTACCGCCAAGTCAATCTGGCTTTAGACCTGATCATAGCTGTACAACAACTCTACTCAATATTGTAGACGATTTATTGCCTTCCATTAATAATAATCACTTATGTCTCCTTGTACTGATAGATTATTCAAAAGCTTTTGATAAAATTAATCATGAACTTATGTTAAATTTATTGAATTATTTGGGATTTTCGTTGAATGCCGTGAAACTCATTGAGAGTTACTTGATTAACCGCTCGCTACGTGTAATCTTGGGTATTGTTGTGTCAGACTATCTCAATCTCCATTGCGGCGTGCCACAAGGCTCAATAATCGGTCCGCTCCTATTTGTTATTTATACATCTCAATTTCCTAAATGCCTTAAGTATACCAAGATTCAGAGTTACGCTGATGACACACAAATCTACAAAACATTTCCTGAAAATATGTTAGATACAGCTTGTGAGCAGATCAGTGAAGACCTAAATAATCTCGTAAATCTATCCAGAAATTATTGTTTGAACATAAATTCTTCTAAAACTGTTGTTATGCTTTTTGGACGCAAAAAAATGAGACAAAGATGTATCAACAAGATCGATATAAGAATTCAGAATGAGACGTTGACACTAACCGAATCTACCAAAAATCTAGGACTCATGTTAGATTCCACCCTGAAATTTTCATCGCATGTTTCCCTGATCTTGAAACGGGGTTTCAGTAATTTAAAGTCTAAATATTCCAATCGGAAAATCCTGAATCCAAAACTCAGGCAGATTCTATGCGAATCTCTTGTACTCTCTCATGCAAACTTTGCCGACTCAGTGTACGGTCCTTATCTACTACAAACAGATAAAAAAGACTACAAAAATTACAAAACTCTTGTATCAGACTAATTACTGGAACGAGGAGGCGTCAACATGTGTCGCATCATCTGAACAGGTTAGGATGGTTAAATATGGAGACTCGGAGAGTTTTTCACTCATGCGTCCAATTTCATAAAATCATCTTGAAACAAAAACCCAGCTACTTACATGAGAAAATTAAATATAGGACTGATATCCATAATCTGAATTTACGATTCAAAAATCAGCTCACTGCACCAACCCACAAGACTTCTGTTTTTCGTGGCTCATTTTCATACAACGTCGTATGGTTTTTCAATCGGTTACCAAATTATCTCAAGAATCTATCACCAGGAGGGTTCAGGAAGCATTTATTCAAACTCCTTAAAAATGGATCCTTGGAACTAGTAGTCTAGTTATCATCCTTCTAGTCTAGTTATCATCCTAATGATGAACATTATATCTAATGGTACTGTTTATATTTTGTTTTGTATTCGTTTTTTTTTCAGGCATGAAATGATTGACAATTATTATTTCACCATAGTTACTTTCAAAGATATTAGCAGGTAGTATAATATATATATATTTTTCATTTATGAATCACTATCATATAATATATATATATTTTTTTCATTTATGAATCACTCAAGGGTTGAATGGAAGAGCAAGCTCTGAATATAAGTCTCTGACGATGTATTCAGAATTTGAATTCTGCCTTTTGATAGTTACAAGTGCATTTTGCAGACTCGATTATATCTCTGTGAATATTCTATTATTATTTTTGTACTTGTTATACTTATCAATAAAATCATTATTATTATTATTATTATTATATCCGGTCTCCATCTTGAACAAAACTCATAAAGACATAAACAATAATTTATAAAAAACGAGTTCTCGTATTAAAAAAAACATGATATTGAAAAAAAATTAATCTATGAAACTTAGAGGAGTGAAGGGGCACCCATATTCAGCACACAGGCAAAGATCAGGTCCACAAGCTGCCTCTCATCTATTTACTCGGCTCAGCTCCGTTGGTGCACTATATTTACCAGAATGACGTTGATGAACCTTTTATCTAAGGTTTTGTATTGTATCCTTGGTATATTGAATATTTTTGACGCTCTCTTACATCGAAATGCTTTTTTTTATTGCATCAACAGTCTGTTCTAATGTTTTAGGAGTGTAATTCAAATAGTAACGGCTCCTTAGTACTTTTTGTACTTCCTAGACATGTTACGGACCTGCAAATTATGACATACATGTATGGCAAAGTAACCCCGGAATTGCAAAAAATATATCGAGGAACTTTGCCAACCTCCAAAAATTCGTCAAGTTATCGATATATTGTTTTGAAAACCTGTAAGATTATCGATAATAGGCATGTTGAGGTCACTACTATGAAAATATGGAGATGAAACATTCCAGAAAATAATTACAGAACCAACTGTCGCACGTTTACAAAAACTCCCGCCAAATAGGCTGGTGGTTTTTGACTCCTAGAGCTCTAGCCTATCTGAAATCTATTGATACCAGAATAACAGAAGATCCTGAAGAACCGATAGGCGATGTCAACAGCTGAGAAATGAAAATTGTTTTAAGATTTTTCACGAACTCTTGGCAAAGTTACCTGGAGATGCAAAGTAACCCCGTTTTACGGTACTTGGTTTTATTTTTGATATCTTGTCAACAATATTGAGAAATGAAAATATCGAAGTTATGCGGTGAGTGAGATATTTCAACTTGGCAACATTGTGTTTGCGCCAGTTGCTTCATCTTTTTCTCTTTAAACATAGTTGCCACATTAACAATCAAATTCTCCGGAAATTGGTACATGGAATATAGCAACACTGTTCAATTTGTTGATTATAATAATTAGTACAATTAATCTCTCGGAGTCCAGAGTAAATCGGATGTGATCAGCAGTGAATTACCAATCTACTAATCACCTACTACATAGTAATTTCGAATCATGGCATTCCTTGCACCATCTTGCACATAAGATCAATTCAAGGATTTCATAGAAACCTGGCAACAGCGGTGTGCTTCCCAGCCGTCACAAACTAGAACCAATCAATTTGAAGGATACACTGACATCATTGCTCAGTAGCGTTTGAATTCACAGGTATTGAAATAACATTTTCAATATTGAATAATCCGTTTGTTGTTCGATTTTCTCGATAAATATGTGGTCAGGATACATTTTTTGACTTTCCTTCATAACATTATAGCGAAAAAGGGTCAAATTTTACGATACTGGAAAGGCCCATTAATCAGTTGTTTCTTTTTTCCATTTTTTTGATTCGAT